CTGCCAGTGTATTTTGGATAAGAGCAGTATTCGCTCCAGGTTGCAAAAGGTCATGAAAGACTCATAGTTGAATTTTCCCACATACATTGGAGTATACCTCACGTTTCCATTGAATTTAATCTAGCATTGCTTCCCCAAAGGCATTCTCCTTTAGAGTTGACGGCAGTTTCAACCTTGCCCGAATATCATCAACACCTCCAACGGTAATCTAACCCGGGCAGTGTGGGATACAATTACGATATGTTACCACTACGTCACACTGCCATGGGCCTTGTTAGCTTTGAAATTCACGCCTGCCCTGTCACCAAATGGTATCTATGGTACTGTGGCGTACTAGTAACATGTATAAATTGTATACTGCATAACCCGAGGCCGATTCCTGTCAGTGGTGCTAATAAAACCAAGGCGATTTCAAAACTGCAGTCCACTCTAGATAAGAATATATTTTGTGAAGCAGGGCTACGTGAAATTCACTCGCATCGGAGGTTTACTCATTTAGTTGGGAAATCCTAATTGTCTCTTATCACATGCGGCCTAGAGTGAATACTGTTGTTATTTATTCTATACCCGGGATTTTCGTAAAGTAGATAGATACCTTCGAACGCGCAAATTCGTGGGCGATTAGAGACAAGATCACTAACCTCGGATGAAATTATGTTTATTCAGACAGATCAACTATATTTTTCGTATTTTAAGTGGAGTTTCGAGACTATCAATTAATCAGTAATATGAGATGTATTCACCCAATTTTGTTTAAGGTGAAGGACTGGGAGTCGAATTTTCCTACAATTATATGAGTAGAGCTGACGTTTCCATTGAATTTCACATAGCTTTGCTTTTCCAAAAGTTGTTCTCATCCAAGGTGGACTGAAGTTTCGACCTCGTATCAGTCTTATCAACACCTGCGGGAATCGAACCGCGACAGTCCAGAATGGGAGATTGACACGTTAATCATTCGGCCACATTTTCACTATACACAAATTTAGTGGAATGAGAGTTTTATATATGATTAAAATGAGATTTATGTTTGCATCTGATTTTTATGCATGCCTCGAAACACCTTGATGTTCGCCAAAAAGAGTTTGCGAAATGCACGACGAAGCATCTAACATTGCCCCTCTACAAAGTTATAGTCTGTAAATCAATTTTCTCAACTCTAAAATCGGTGACGTCACTATGATAGGCAGATTAGCTTCATTTTACCGACTATAAAAAAATATATATTGATCTTCCAATTGATTTATTTATTTTGTCTAGATCAACACCGTATTATCATCGCAAAGATTTTTTGATCTTAAGAAATTCAGTAATATTTTTGCTTCACTCGATTAAAAAATCTGAATTTGGCCCCGACGAGGAAAAATATATTATACATTTAATTAAATAAATCGGGCTTGTTTATTCAATAAACTGTTCTTAATGAAAATTTATTTGATGAATGTTTGCAAAACCGGTTGAAATTTCATTCAATACAAGTCCATTTCTTTACATATATGACTGCATATATAAGATTTTACCTAAGTTATTTGCTGGTGATCAAAACTAGTTATTAATCATAATATATGGTTATCTATTCTTTGAGCTTGTCGAATATCATTATTTTGGCTCTAATTTTTTCCAATTCGGCTGTCTAATTTTTTTTAGGTTAATGACCTAATGTTTTTCATTATATGAATTTTATGCCTGTCTTCATTGCTGCGTACTTGTTTCTCATACCTGTTTCTCAAAAACAATTTTATCGAATTTTAGTAAGGGCGGTAATTTTAGAGATTTTTATCAAAACTAATATTTAAAAAAATTTGCTGGAAGAACGAATGGTGAATTGAATATGGTTGATTATTGGGGGCAGTAAATGTCATTTACTACTATCTTTCCGTTATTTGCGCTTTCAGCATTTTACTTGGTGCTACTTTGATTATATTGCCTCTTCAGGATCCGTCAGGAAAATGTTGATCCTGAAACTGATATTTGCGATCTCCTTCTTGACTAGTTTCAAGAAAAAAAACCAAAATCCTGATTGATTTTCCCCTTTAAACTTTTAGGTCGAATTTATCGTGTCAAAATTTGTCCATGCTGAGTCTCCTCTAGGTTCACAGTCAGCAAATATTGGTTCTTGTAAAGGCGATGACCAGCTGCCCATTTCCGTTCAAGTTACCTCATCATTAGACAATTCCCCTGGCTCAGACAACCGGCCTATCGAACTAGCCTCACCAAGTCATAATTTAAACGGCCCTAGTATGCAATCGACATCAATGCTAAGTCTCGAAGATAAGCGCCGTTTGGCCTCGTCCCAACAGACGCAGCTTTGTTTTAATAATTCGAGAACCGATCACATTCCTCTTGTGCCATCAGCTTTGACGAAACCACGACAGCAGATTGCCAAAAAAACCACCAATATGATTACTTCTACCAGCACCGGACAACCAATCGACCTATTCCTTTCTAATTTAGCTGCGTTTTCGTCCACTTCGTCTAATTCATCTGGTACATTTTCATCGTCAACTTCATCCTTTTGTGCAACTGGTTCCATAGCCCAGTCAGCAAGGCTTGATCAGATTCAACCTGTCTCGTGGGGCGGTGTTTCTGCTCCATTTGTCATTGGCCAGCCTATTTCGAATGACAAGTCTTTATCGCGACAGCCCTTCGCTGCAACCAACTTTTCGCCGACAGTCATTTCAACCCCTTGGATCCAGTCACAGTTATCTACCTTAAACTCTTTCCAGGCCAACTCATCGTCAGATCCATCAAAATTGGGTCAGACTTCAGGCTCTTTGTTCTCTTCTTCAGTAAATCAACCAAATAGGGGGATTATTGGGAACCCTCATGTGCCAGCTTCTACTTCCCTTCTTCCGATTCGGCCCACTCCGGCCTTGCGCCTTCAAACAGCTTCAAAAACAGCTATTATTTCTGGAACTGATATTGACGCTTTGTTATCTTAAATCTTTTTTTTGCGCCAACTAACATCTTCCGTTATATGCAATCATAATCTTTCATGTTTTTTCTTCCCTATTGTGTACTTTCTTATCATATTCTGTTATGTCCTTTCTGGTCTGAGTATATTTACCTTCGTTTTCAAAGAGTTACGCTTATATTAGCTTTATCTCCTATTTCGCTATATTTTTTACACTACTCCAGATTATTGTCTTTCTATCTACCTCATTCTTTTTTCATTAATCGATTTTCGACAGTTGCCATTTACGTTTATTCAATTTACGAATCTCCAATGTTTCACTCCTCGGTATGTAAAATTTGTATTTTGGGGTTGGATTTGGATACGTGCTTTACTCATGCCACTCTGAATATGCAAACAATATTCAGATGCTGTCCCTTGATTCTTAATGGCGTTAGTAACCTACACTATGTTAGAACGTATCACATTTTGTATTTTTA